GCTCTTTACGAGTATTCGCGACTGGTGATACCTATATTTTTATCCTAGGTCAATACTTGACACCGTATTGGCTAGTCAACGATCAAATTACGGGGAAAAGCTAAAATTTTCCAAGCTATTTAGCCAATAATGGCAAATCTATGAAAGATATCAACATGAAACTTTCACGACCGTGTTTCTCAATGGATTAGCAACAAAATGATGCATAGTTCACTGCAGTTCAGTCATTACTGGCGTGACATAGTCCCCGGGAACACGAGAGTCACACCCGCCGCTGGCGAGGACGGTCCTAATTGACCTGAGGTGACCTTGTAAAGATCGAGGAACAATTTTTAAAGCATTTAGATGAAGATTGAACCACAGATTCGGATTCAGGACCTCAAGAAACCCCACTAAACACAGACATGCGAGGTCAATGACCTTTGTTGACCTTAGAAAGGTCAATATACAATGTAATGTTTCATGTCCTGTCAAAATCTGACATAATGATAAGTCACACAGAATAATTTCGTTCTTGTCGATGGGATCGCGTCCAGTTACGCCAGATGTACGATTTTGTCAAAAAGAGTCGGAGGTTTTACCTATTGTGAGGTCATAGCTCGGTGACCTGACATGACCCGAAAATATTTTTACCGAAAGATTGAGCTGAAAGTTAGCATGTAGGTAGGCACCCACTAAGCCATGCATATCCATGTGCCAGATTTGGGGTGCTGTTGCACGTGCGCACGTGCAGGGTTTGATTCCAGATCTCGAAGACGGCTGGACCGATTGCGCTCAAATCTGGTAGGTACACGGTTAGGGAGCAGTTGGTAGGGTGCCGTGCAAAAGTCAGTTGGGACCCAGTTGGCACGTGCGCACATGCAGGGTGCCGCTTCCAGATCTCGAGAACGGCTGGGCCGATTGCGCTCAAATTTGGCACATCACTAGGGACCGGTTAGTAAGTCTTGGGGTGCAGTGCACAAGTTATTTGGTGGTGCCCCCTCGCAATTTCGCACGTGCAAGGCCCACCCTCCCGCTCACTCTGTTGGTCGCCCCAAAAGGCGTTTTACTGGTGTGCACGATTACTTTATAAAAATGCTGAAGTGTTGCAAGTGATTGACAAATATTGTCCAAAGCATGCTGCCTTTGTCCAACCAAATTCCGATTTGGGCATAGGACAAAATCGGAATTCTGAAGGTACAAAATCCGATTGGCACCACTCTAACAGATGTGGTAAGGTTGTGATAGGTTTTACCGAACGGAGATATAGACGATCTGTCAACTGACGAGAGAAGCGAACCTCTGTCAACTGGCTGGTGTGCAGCAGGCAGATATTGATATTCTGCAACGGTTATTTTTGTTGTGGTTTTAATCTTTCTTCAATAAGGTACCTATGTTAGAGCTGTTGTGCCTATTTGTTTATACACCAAACAACATCGGTGATAGCCAGATAACTATTTCATGGCGTGCAAAGAAAGACTGTTCAAGTTCCCCAACGGTCGGGTTATTTGGTTACACCGTCACTTGACGGAGAAGCAAGGCTTTACTTCACATTTTTCAAAAAAATATGTTCACCTTGAAACTTGGTGCACTCTATGGCAATGACTCTTGTCAAGTTGCTCTTAGGACAATAAAAATTTATTTCATTGGCTTCCACTCGCCAAACCCGCTTTTCCTATAGCTCAATCAAGGGATGAATCACTGGGTGGTTCTTTCGACCCCTCCTCACCCTCCTGCAATTGAAGTTAGCCGTTGGCAAAGACACTAATTCGTGCAGGGGCTCATTTTCACTTGTCCTTTTAATGTAATCGGTGACTTAAGCCAGCCGGCCAAATGAACAAAAATCCATACAAACCCAGGTGATGCCACGGGCCCACGGCCCTCATCCTTGTTAGCGTCCACTCCCTCGGCGGCGGCGGCGGCGGCCCGTCGTGCCGTGCGCCGCGGCAAGTTACCTCTCGCCGCGCCAGGGGCCGCGGGGCGGGACGCTACCCCCCGCTGCGCCAGGCGACCCCCGGGCCTGGGCACCACCGCGGCGGGCGACGGACGACAATAGAGCAAACAAAGGATGGGGCCGCCAGTCAGCCGGCGTAGTGAATGGGTAAATCCTTACTCGATAATACAGCAGGGACTGCTCCACGAACACGGGCAGGCCGTACGGCAGTAGACATTCGATGGAATAGGCGATTCGGGCGTAGGTCAGCCGGGCGTAGGTCACCCGGGCGTAGACATTCGATGGAGTAGGCGATTCGGGCGTAGGTCAGCCGGGCGTAGGTCAGCCGGGCGTAGACATTCGATGGAGTAGGCGATTCGGGCGTAGGTCAGCCGGGCGTAGGTCACCCGGGCGTAGACATTCGATGGAGTAGGCGATTCGGGCGTAGGTCAGCCGGGCGTAGGTCACCCGGGCGTAGACATTCGATGGAGTAGGCGATTCGGGCGTAGGTTAGCCGGGCGTAGGTCAGCCGGGCGTAGACATTCGATAGAGTAGGCTATTCGGGCGTAGGTCAGCCGGGCGTAGGTCAGCCGGGCGTAGACATTCGATGGAGTAGGCGATTCGGGCGTAGGTCAGCCGGGCGTAGGTCACCCGGGCGTAGACATTCGATGGAATAGGCGATTCGGGCGTAGGTCACCCGGGCTGATCCCACGTTGGGTGTTCCAACGGGATCAGCCCGGGTGACCTACGCCCGAATCGCCTATTCCATCGAATGTCTACGCCCGGGTGACCTACGCCCGGCTGACCTACGCCCGAATCGCCTACTCCATCGAATGTCTACGCCCGGCTGACCTACGCCCGGCTGACCTACGCCCGAATAGCCTACTCCATCGAATGTCTACGCCCGGCTGACCTACGCCCGGCTAACCTACGCCCGAATCGCCTACTCCATCGAATGTCTACGCCCGGCTGACCTACGCCCGGCTGACCTACGCCCGAATCGCCTACTCCATCGAATGTCTACGCCCGGGTGACCTACGCCCGGCTGACCTACGCCCGAATCGCCTACTCCATCGAATGTCTACGCCCGGCTGACCTACGCCCGGCTGACCTACGCCCGAATCGCCTACTCCATCGAATGTCTACGCCCGGGTGACCTACGCCCGGCTGACCTACGCCCGAATCGCCTATTCCATCGAATGTCTACTGCCGTACGGCCTGCCCATGTTCGTGGAGCAGTCCCTGCTGTATTATCGAGTAAGGATTTACCCATTCACTACGCCGGCTGACTGGCGGCCCCATCCTTTGTTTGCTCTATTGTCGTGCGTCGCCCGCCGCGGCGGTGCCCAGGCCCGGGGGTCGCCTGGCGCAGCGGGGGGTAGCGTCCCGCCCCGCGGCCCCTGGCGCGGCGAGAGGTAACATGCCGCGGCGCACGGCACGGCGGGCCGCCGCCGCCGCCGCCGAGGGAGTGGACGCTGACAAGGATGAGGGCCGTGGGCCCGTGGCAGTGGCGCAGCCAGGGGGGGGGGGTCAGAGGGTCAGCTGACCCCCCCGAAATTTCTGTCAGGGGCCCGCTCGAGAGAGAGAGAGAGAGAGAGAGAGAGAGAGAGAGAGAGAGAGAGAGAGAGAGAGAGAGAGAGAGAGAGAGAGAGAGAGAGAGAGAGAGAGAGAGAGAGAGAGAGAGAGAGAGAGAGAGAGAGAGGGAGGGAGGGAGGGAGGAGAGAGGTCCTAATCTAACCGGACGAGAAAACTGGCCCGGGCCCACTGAGTGGATGGGGCCCGGGCCCCCCGTGGATGGGTCCGGGCCCCCGGGAGAACGGGCCCCGGGCCTCGGGTGGACGGGGTCCGGACTCCCGGTTGGATGGCGCCCGGGCCCCCGGGAGAACTGGCTCGGGCCCCTGGGAGAACGAGCCCGGACCCCCTGGGTGGATGGGGCCCGGGCCCCCGTGGATGGGTCCGGGCCCCCGGGCGAACGGGCCCCGGGCCCCGGGTGGACGGGGCCCGGACCCCGGTTGGATGGGGCCCCGGCCCCCGGGAGAACGGGCCCGGGCCTCCCGGAGAACGGGCCCGGGCCCCCGGGAGAACTGGCCCGGGCCCCTGGGAGAACGGGTCCGGGCCCCTGTGTGGATGGGGCCCGGGCCCCCCCGTGGATGGGTCCGGAACCCCGGGAGAACGGGCCCCGGATGGACGAGGCCCGGAACCCCCGTTGGATGGGGCCCGGGCCCCCGGGAGAACTGGCTCGGGACCCTGGGAGAACGGGCCCGGACCCCCTGGGTGGATGGGTCCGGGCCCCTGGAGAACGGACCCCGGGCCCCGGGTGGACGGGGCCCGGATCCCCGGTTGGATGGGGCCCCGGCCCCCGGGAGAACGGGCCCCGGCCCCCGGGAGAACGGGCCCGGGCCCCCGGGAGAACTGGCCCGGGCCCCTGGGAGAACGGGGCCGGGCCCCCCTTTGTAGATAGGGCCCGGGCTTCCCGTGGATGGGTCTGGGGCCCCGGGAGAACTGGGCCGCTTGGGCGATTGTTTCGCTGTAATTTTTGTAGGGTAGCTGCATCCCTTCTACCAAAGGTCGGGTACTGTTGATCTATGTGAGTGACCCCCACTGCACGTGCAAAATACAAAAAGAAGAGGTGCCAAATTTGTTCCCATTTTAATAACTCGGTAATTACTGGGGCGATTTCGCTGAAACTTGACATACAGGTAGGCACCCAACAGGCAATGCGATCCCATGTGTTGCGGTTAGGGTGCTACTGCACGTGCGCACGTGCAGCGGGGTGCTTCCAGATCTCGAGAACGGCTGGGCCGATTGCGCTCAAATTTGGTACACGGTTGGGGACCGGTTAGTAGGGTGCCGTGCAAAAGTCAGTTTGGACCCCGTTCGCACGTGCGCACGTGCAGAATGCCGCTTCCTGATCTCAGGAACGGCTGGGCCGATCGCGTTCAAATTTGGCGCACCGCTAGCGACCGGTTAGAAGGGTGCTTTGCAAATGCACAAGCCTGTTGGAAGTACCCTCTCGCCCTTCCGCACGTGCAGGGCTCACTATCTCGCTCGCTCGTTCTTCGCCCAAAAGGCGTTTTACTGGTAGTAACATATTTCTGTCGATACAATTGTAGTGTGAGAGTTGGGTTTTGGAGGCTGTCGTCTCGGCGCCGCGGGGAGCGTCGGCCGGCCGCCGTCTGCCCCGTCCCCTCCGGTGTGGACGGAGGGCACATCTGGTGTCGGAGCGGTCCCGGCGGCCGTTCGTCCCAGTTTCGGGGCCATGCCGGCGCGTCGGATAGGACAGAGGGGGAGTCGTGTCCGAGCCATGGGACCGCACGGTGGTGTGTGAGGGTGAGCGAGCAATACAAAGCAATCTGGCAAAGATTACCTTTTACAAGCTATTTCGGCAACATGCCTGAAGAGAGCGATGGTGCAGTGACGCGGCAGTGATCGGCACCGTTTGCAACGACTTGCAACGGAGCTGTCGAGGCAGTGAGAAGCAGGGGTCGCCCAGGAGCCGTGGCGTCTGCCGTGGACCCCGCCCGTCACCTCGTCTGTCCCGGTGGCTGCTGCTGGACCGGCCCATACACAGCCGGCCGGGAGGATCGGCAGATACGGCGAGGTGGACTGCGACCGGCAGAAGAACCTAGTGCCGCTGGACTAACTGGACACTGAGCGGCTGGGCCGGTCTGTGCAATGCTCTGGCGAGTGATGCTCGCAGTGAGGGTGCTGGCGAGTGATGCTCGCAGTGAGTGCGCTGGCGAGTGATGCTCGCAGTGAGGGTGGTGGCGAGTGGTGCTCGCAGTGAACGTGTTGGCGAGTGATGCTCGCAGTTAGTGCGCTGGCGAGTGATGCTCGCAGCGGTGAAGGTGACAGCCGGTGGGGCTGTGGAGGTGGTGGCAGCTGGTGGGCTGTGGAGGTGGTGGCAGTGCCGCGGCACTGCACTGGAAATTCCACAGGAGGGCCGTGTGGTGGCAGTCGCCAGCACTGCAATGGAAATTCCACAGGAGGGCCGTGTGGTGGCAGTCGCCGGCACTGCACTGGAAATTCCACAGGAGCCGTGTGGTGGCAGTCGCCGGCACTGCACTAGAAATTCCACAGGAGGGCCGTGTGGTGGCAGTGACCGGGACTTTTTAGAATAAGTGTCTGATTGTTTGTGAGCTCGTGGTTTTTGTGTGCATTTGATTTAAGGTGACCAATTGATTTTGTGTGCGCCTTTGATGGACAGGAGAGGGCAAGTGGTTGAATGAGAGAGCTGGTAGTTTCGTGGCATCTGTGGTCCGTGTGTGCATTTGATTTAAGGTGACCAATTGATTTTGTGTGTGCCGTTGATGGACAGGAGAGGGCAAGTGGTTGAATGAGAGAGCTGGTAGTTTCGTGGCATCTGTGGTCCGTGACAAAATTGGTGAGCCTGGCCAAGCGCATTTCTTCATGCCGGGCGCTGCACGTAAAAAGATTCTTAAATGATTGGGGAAGGCACGTGGACATTATGCGTGCTGATTAGGAGCGTTTAAGAGAATGGCTTAGGATTGCTTGCCTGGTTGTGTGCGTGTTTGTGTTAAAATTTCAGTGGTTGATTCTTGAGAATCAGGGGAAGGTGTAGTGTGAGAGTTGGGTTTTGGAGGCTGTCGTCTCGGCGCCGCGGGGAGCGTCGGCCGGCCGCCGTCTGCCCCGTCCCCTCCGGTGTGGACGGAGGGCACATCTGGTGTCGGAGCGGTCCCGGCGGCCGTTCGTCCCAGTTTCGGGGCCATGCCGGCGCGTCGGATAGGACAGAGGGGGAGTCGTGTCCGAGCCATGGGACCGCACGGTGGTGTGTGAGGGTGAGCGAGCAATACAAAGCAATCTGGCAAAGATTACCTTTTACAACAATCTACCACAGCAGCCAATAGATGACTTAGGACAGGCACATGGGACTACTTAAATATTGTCCGATAGAAGCAGGCAACAGCTCTGTTAGCGTATATGCTATGCATATTGCGGAAGGGGCACATTTCGGCCTCGAAAGATACGAATTCGTATCTCATGGTAACATATTTCTGTCATGGTCAATTCGCGTAGAAATTGAACACCGGTCGGGTGATTACCGAGCTATTGCTCTATCAAAATTTTCCGATTCAAACTCGCTTAGGGTTATCGTGTAGGTAAAGGGGGCCCGCTCAGCAGAATGCGTATGAAATATGGAAAAATTCTGAAAAATGGGTGGGGGCCCGCACACTAGGGGGCCCGCTTTGGAGGCGATGACCCCCCCGAAACCAAATCCTGGCTGCGCCACTGCTGAAGACCGTTTTTACTGATGATAAGTTGTTCATTAAACTTCTACCAAAAAACGCTCCATATAAAGAATTTGGTCGGATTTAAATCGGCGGAGTTGAAGGACCAGAAGTTTTTGGTTCATCTCAGGTGGAGGTGCCCTACACAATAACATGTCGTCCTCACTGCAGTACCAGCACGGACAGAGTCCTCGTAAGACGTGATCTGGACCGTCAGTGATGCTCTCTTCCGACGACTCCACGTGAGTCTGCCAGAGTGTGGATGTATTTACCAGAGGTGCTCGTTTTATCCGGGCTCGATGAAGTAGGGTGCACCACGTGCACCTCCCTTGAAGACCACCCATAGGTCCATCACCTCAACAGGATGTTTACTTTGCATGACCGCTGCAATATTCTCGATACAATCCCCTATATGGCATGCCATTCTTTTTTATCGTATTCCAGTCGGTGATAAGATTTTTGGTCGCTGAAGTTTTGAACATTGTTTCTTTTTAATATGCTCAAGAGCTTCTTCCTTATATTCAAGTGAGTCATCTTGTATGTCCTCTGCTAAGAGTTATTTTACGACGATTACGTTAACTTTTTGTCCTAAGTATCCCCACACAATCCTTATCGTCCGTGATAACACGTTGACCTGTCCAGCAACCTTTACGTGGAATGGCATTGTTTTAAACAAAATGTTCTTGTTTTACTCGTTTAACATTAGTGTCTATGGGCGCGCGCAAAGCACTTGGAGCACCGTCGAACTATTTTGCTGCTCTTTTCCAGGAAGTTGCATGCTCATGGATGTAGTCATGTCAGATGATGCACAACTTTTGGGCGTTTCATTGCCATGATATAATTTATCAAAATAATGCCATGCCTACTCATGACCAGAGCCCAAAAAGCATTCCCGATTATGCTGCCCCACCCTGTAGTACAGGCACACGCACCAATTCACGCCCATTCCCACTCGGCCATAGACGTGTCATCGAGAGCCGGCGCTGCACAGCCAGCCCAGCTGCGACTGGCGCACGCTGCTTGTTTGTTTTTGTTTTGTTGGGTGGTTAGGCTCTTTCGGTCTGACAAGACCATTTCAGAGCCGGAAAAATGATAGGAATTAGGGGGAGACATTGGTCTGGGCAGACACCCTAGGGCCTAGAGTCGCCGGGGCTTAGCCCGTCCGAATGGACAGGCCGACCAGGACCCCCCCCAGAACCAGGGACGGCGCCACGGATTTCGCCTTGCGGTGGCAGGTTTTCAGAAAAAGGGCCCAAATAAGATGGGGGCCCAAACTTTCCGAAATATCGTCAATACCGTCAATACTACGCAAGCCTTTATTTGTACAGGTCTCGCGAGATTAAGCGGTAGGTTTGGCACTTTTACATTTCCGGTTATATCTCAGAAACTAATCGATCTACAATGAAGTAATTTTACACGATCATGGCCGGCTTGTTACCCAACAAGTCGATCGCATCTTCAACACTTAAAAGCTTAAGACGACGAAGATATAGCCTGAAGTAGGGGAGACCCGGGAGGTATGGGCCCCCTGGAGGTATGGGCCATCGCAGTTTTGAAGAAGTGTTGCGCATTTTTACACATTTGACCGCGTCAACTGCTAGCAGCCATTCCGTTATACAACCCACGTGATTTCCAAAATCTTCCTCAGTCTCCTTTGGCAATGAGCGGTGATAAAGCGTTTTTGCCCTCTTCGAGTAAAATACAGTACATACAGAAAATTCCTGATAAATTTGAAACAGGCTCGTTTTATGATGTCAGACCTTCGGTAATGTAAAGTTTAAAGCATGCAAATTAACACTGGATAGACAATTTGGAGCTTTCTTGCAAGATTATGAGCTGAGATGCAACGCACATTCTGGCGTCCTAACCGGGAGGTTCGGGCCACCCAACCCCAGTGATCCTAAATAAATAAAAAGATGCTTCCATTGAATGTCCCCGTCAATAAGTTTTATTTTTGTCGCGCAAGGTCGAAAATTTAACTTTAAATTTCATTCGAACAGAAAAATATTATTTATCTTATTTCATGGAGCATGATTGAGCTTACCAAAATACATATGTACCCACGTGACCCCCCATGAAGTAAGCTGTTGGCTGCTTATGCGGTTCCTGGGCTCTAAGAGAGATCAAGGTAGATACCAGCAACGAATACTGTTCCCATTATCGAGAAAAGAATATGAAACATGGCACCGGCCCATACCTCCCGGGTCATGGCCCATACCTCCCGGTGTATTTTGATGGATCGAAAAAGCGCATGATTTATTGAAAGTTATCTCGAGACAAAATAGTTGATCCCAGATTCCTAATATCAGGCACACTTTGCAGGCGAAAGGCAATTTCACGTACACAGAGTGAAAAACCGGGTCTAGCCACTTCCCACTGGAAGAAAATTGCCTTTTCACAAAACCGGCCCATACCTCCCGGGTCTCCCCTACACTAAAATTTCTAGGTGCAAAACCTACCGCTAAAACCCGCGAGACCTGTAACGACCTACCATTCCCACAACCGTTACCTTCTACACTTGTATTTATTTTGTATTTATTGCATACCATCAACAGGTCCAGAAACCCAATAATACACAATAACACAAATACACAATAACTTTTGTGTTAAAGGACACACTCTTAACCCTCGCCCGTATTGGTGTTTTTCCAGCCACGAACGTATAGGGGGCAGGAGTCTGTTGCCCCCCCCCCCCTTGCCGTTTCGCCCCTGATCAAGCTAGACCTTCGCAGAAAAAAAACGAGCGTGCTGCCCGTGACGAGAGAAAGCCGATGATACCCAATTTTAAGGTCCTTGGTCATCGGCTAACCTTCCAGGTCAGGTCAATGGCCAAAAGTCGGGAAAAGCGGGACATGTTAGAACGTCGTAAAGGTGGCTGCTATGGGTTTCTTTTTCGGGGTGATGATCACGAATATCATGTTAATAATGATCATAGATGATGTCTTCATGCATTTAGGCCAGGTCGGGTCAGGTCAGGTCATGTCAGGTCAACCAGTAACGGTTTTGCCGGGTATTCGTAGTAGGTGGCAACCGCCTCTGACAGCTTCGTAACATGTTACGAATGCACCAAAATTACTTCGTAAATGTTCAAATGGTTGCTAAATTCGAATTCAGATAAAAAAACTAGCCTAGAGACATGTAAAACTCCAAAAAAGAAAACCGAGGTCATCAAAGGTCAATGACCTGACCTGACCTCCCGGTGATCTTGACACCCACCCTAATGCATGGGAGCAACATCATATCCCATGTTTGAACGCTTGAAACCACGAAAAGACTGCAAACGCGCGGCTGATGCGAGCCGACATGCGCTGAATCGCGATTCCGGCCAAACATGGTCTCGAAAAGTAGTAGGTCACAGGTCAAAGGCCATTAGGGTCAGGGTCATGAAATTTTAATGGTTGAAAGATAAGGTCTTTAAAATAGGGTAGGGTGGGGTAATTTGAACATGTGGGGCAATTTGAACATAGTGTGAAAAACACAAAATTACGGAAAATCCATAAGTGGTATGACAATATGACCTATGAGGGAAATTATCGTAACTAGAAGGGCTATCATATGAACGGGGTTTAAAGTTTCATGGAATGAAGATGCTGACGCACACAGTAAAAAATCATTTTCGCAAGTAAAAACGCCTAAAAACACGTCATTGCAACTTCATTGCAGCGCAAAATCTTGCATTGCTAGCGGCTAATACGCAACGGCTTTTGTTGTACAATGACTTAATCAGTGCCTTCAATCCAAAAAATTTGCTTGTGAAACCAGGGGGAGGCACTCGCCTTGGCCGTATATGGGCCAGAATGTCTAACGATTTCCGCCATGTTGTGTATACCAAAGTCTTGAAAAGTTGATCACTGCAATCAAACTGCAAGCATGAAGCAGCAGCACTTTTGAGTAGTGTACCTCTCACTAAACTGCACCTCTGCTACCGTACATGCAATTTATATTTCTGGTATACACAACATGGCGGAAATCGATAGACAAAAACAAGTCACCAATGCTCCTTCCAGTATATATTAGAGATAGAGTTCAGTGTGTGAAACCTGTTTTTAAATATGACAAAATAACTTTTAGCGTGGGGTAATTTGAACATACAGGGTGATTTTTTTTTAACTGTTAAAAAGTAAACGTCAATGGTGGTCCCTAAATCGAAAAATCGCGTGCAAAAAAGCATTGCACGTGATAGA